GGAATGACCGGTTACCTCATCCTTTTAAGAGGATTATTCCTATACTCCCTACTACAATCCCCCAAATATCACCACTACTACCCCATTACCAAGACCAGTATAGGGAATAACCAATTACCCCATCCATATTCCCTAAGGTGGTATTATCATCCCAAAGTGGGCAAAGGTTCTCTCAGGGCTGGCTGTCCAAAATGTAAGGGTGGAGAAGCCAATCCACCAGCACCCCCCAAGGAGCAATGGTAGACACACATCATTCTGCAGAGTGTAGGATCATGGATGCCGGTTGTCGCGCGAATTCCTCGGTCGTTGTTGGCACAGTTTCCACCTGAACTAGCACGTGTGCACTATAGCTACACCAGATCGAAGCAAGCTTGTCATCAAACTCTGGACATGACAAAGACAGCCTGTGCACATGTAGCTTCACATGCTTCTCTAGATGCTCTGTCATTTGGCGGACTGCCGTTCCAAATTGATGAGCCATGCCTGCTGATCGTCGAAGCAGGTCTCCAAGCAGAACGGACAGGGACTTCTGGTGGGTTCGGCGGGAAGGTGCCAATCCCCTGCTGATACGGCGCGCAGAACTGAAGCCTCCAAATGTAGTGTTGGCTATTTTGGAAGTGGCCAAAGAGAAGATGGGGCTGACAATTGCGACGGACGCAATGGTGATGCTGAAAAATAACGGAGAGGAATGGGCTAATGATGCTCCGGTCAACGACGTCGTTGGTGGTGAAACAGGTGCAGACGCAATCTCGATTGCATTTAAGGACATCCCAGCCGTATCATCACAGGCAACTTCTCCGAAAAGTATCGTTTTTGCCTTCTCCAATGCAGGTTTCCTGTCCCCGCTTATCCCCACTACTTATTCCCCTTAAGTGGTTCACGCTAGGAGGTTTAGTCCTTGCTAGGATTTATGGCTTGGTTAGTTTGGCGGTTCGGGTGTTTCGTTGCTGGGGTGCATGTTTTGACTTTTGTTGTTTTACGGTGTTCTACTGTCTGTGCAGGCAAATGAGATGTTCCATCTGGCTGCTACGCTGAGAGGGTGGGGCAACGTTTTCGGAGCACGCCGTGCGCTGTTCACCTTGGCAGCAGAGTGCGCTGCATATGGTCAAATTTGCGAGTGCATCAAGCATATCCGTGTGCTCGGGCAGACTGACAGCATTGGCTTAGACATATGGTTTCGCTCTGAAGAGTCCCGTGCAAGGTTGATAGGTGCTGTGTTTAGGCATCCTTCCGCCACTGCCACTGACGAGTCCATTCAGTTGACGCTGAAGAAGCTCAAGCGACCTGAAGGCATTGAGGCAATACTGCCGAATCACTATGAGCGGGACGACGGCAGTCCTGAACAACATGCTAGCACCGGAGCTGGGTCGACTGCACCAGCAGCTACAAAGGCAGCTCAGCTGCGTGCAAAACTACATCTGCAGCGCTTGGACAAGGTAGAGGACAAGATTTATTAAAACATGCACATCATCCCAGCAGCACTGTTAGATGATGGACGGAAGCTAGTATGTGAACGGTTGTTCTTGAGTGCCAGTCCTGTTTTTCACATGTACTTTGATGGTCCGGACATTGCTCCGCACATCCAAGTGAGGGTTATGGAGAGATCTCCATCATGTGATGGTCTCGTGGAGTTCACCATGGAGGTGAACACTCGCATGGTCGGGGCAGACACTTTCATCTCGAAGCCTGCCAATTCCTTTGACCTCCAAGAACCAGACATTGGCTACCAAACCTTCGTAAAAGTGCCCGAAGCGCAGGCAGATCATTTCGAGCGCGCCGTCAAGTGGCGCTGCGCGTGTGTTGAAGCTGCATGGGCAAGGAAGAGCCAAGGACATCCGGTCAGCATCACCGGAGATCATGTGTGGTGGCAGCTCTTGGAGCTTCCCGCCGAGCTGCAAGTGGCCGTAGGTGAAGCCAAAAAGGCTGCGGGCATCGGTGCAGAAGTTGACACCGGCATTGCAGCAGCAGTCGACTAAGCGGCACAGGGTAGAAATAGCAAACGCTATCTTCTCTTGTTTCCCAGGTGACAGCCATTGCGTGTATTGCCCCGTGCACAGACACTTCGACTGCTGCAGCGAAGACTCAGAGAAAAGGAGTCCGAAGTTGCCTGCCCGGTTCACGACAGTCAATCTCTTACAGTGGGCATTCAAACTACAACATAAAGCTCGGTGAGGTGAGCAATCACACGGAATATCAAGACCTTACACCCTCACCCAGGTCATGGGGTAGTAGTAGTGATATAGTTGGTGAGGTGTAGGGGGGAGTATAGGAATAATCGTCTAATGGGCTGACTGGTGGCAGGTGAAAACATCAAGCCTCAGCCGCAGGCTTTGCCACGGCCTCAGCATCCGCAAGCCTTTGGTGGTCAGAGATCGGCATGAGCTGCAGGGCATGTTTTGCCAAGTGCAGCCCTCACACTCGTGAGCGAACAAGTCCTTCGGCCCCAACCTTTCAGCTCGGTAGCTTCTGAATAGGGTTTGGGTTTAGGGTTTAGGGGTTTAGGGGTTTAGGGTTATTCAAGCGTTTAGGGTTTAGGGTTTAGGTATAGGGCAATAGGCCTGGATGCAAAAAGGGCCATTCAAGTGGGCCATCGAGGTCAAGAGATGTTGACCTACTCGGACACACACAGGCCCCTCAAGGGCAGGGATTTCTGAAACCAAAGGTGCCATTCAGAGCTTTTTGTTTAAGTAAAGAGATCCTCTTCCCCTTTATTTGGGGCATATCATTATTCGGGAAACCCTTGCTGAACCTCGGGACTCTTGCGAAGTGGCAAAATCAGGGGAGCACTTGAAGGCTTCAGCAGATGCGAGGGATCCTCATAAACGGGGGTGATCTGTCGAAATAACGGAGTTGCTTCTGCGTGATCTTAGGATGTGCTGCGAGGGAAGACACTGGCAGGTTGCTCTGAAGCTTGTCACAAGTCGCATCGTGTGCTCGTCTTGAGCCGGAATTGGCTACTGCTAGTGCCTAGAGAGTTTTCGTGATGGCCAGACCTACGATGCTCCAGTGCCTGCAGCACAAGTGGTCGTCGTGCTCAGCCAGCGGATGTTCTGCTTCGCCAGTGCTGACAGGTTGAGAGATTAATGCTGGTGGTGCAAGGGGTAGATGGATGAACTAGATTTCTCGTAGTGGCTCCAGCTCGATGGGAGATGTTCGGATCCGCATTCGAAGCTGCTCTAGCGGACTGTGCGGGCAAAGTGCTATACGTGTGCATTAGTTTGGCTCCCGCCCCTGAGAGTCGGGGGTTGCAGGTGAGGTAACGGGGCCTCCGGGGCCCGAGAGATTCACAAAACGCTACTGGACAGCTTCCTTGGCTCTCAGGTTCGGTGCGAAGGACGAGAGCCTTGGAGTTCTGGGCCTCAGAGTGTGGAGTATGGAGTCTTCTGTGGAGCTTTCTTCGACCGAGGCTCTTGATGTCGACCAGCTGAAGCAGCTGCAGGAGCTGTTGGAGCACGGAGACTCAAGCGTGAAAGCAAGCAGAACATCGATTTCTCCTTGAGTCTTGCTTGAGCCTGTTTGAAAGATTTCCGTCCAAGAAGAGAGCTTCTGGCTGCAGGAGTTTGCAAACGAGTCTGCCTTGAAGCGAGCATTGCCCTCAGCTGAAGCAGGCCCAGTCCCCCCGAGTTGTTTTGGACATCCTGCTGGATCTGGCTCATCTCGGCGCCTGAGCTCCCGTTTTCGCGCTTTACAGCTTAGACGCCTGGCTCGCAGATGACGAGGTTTCACTCCAGCGAGCATTGACAACTTTCACCTGGCAAATCTCCAGCAACTAGGCAGAACCAAAACAAGGTATGAGTTTGTACCCGTATAGCCCAGTTCTACAGCCAGCCTTCCTTTCAGACACGGCAGCCGCCCTTGAGCAACGTTTTGGCCAAAGTGCCAAGCCATGACTCCAGACAGCGGGTGAAGCTTCCACGGCATGCATAGCCATGTTTACTGGCGCAACTTGGAGGAAACTTGAAAGTGGTGTCTCTTAGTGCTCTTTTCAGGGATTTGCGATTCTGTGCTCGCAAGGCGACCTGTCCGTGGTCGGCAGTGGCCGGGCGCTTCTGCAGAGCTCTACAGGGTGCTTCCATCTGCACTTGAAGGGGTTTTGGTCTTCTGAAAAAAGTCGGCACTGTTTCCAAAGCCTTTGCAGAGTCCCTTCTGTTTAGCCTTCGTAGAGTGGAAGATGATTAAAGCCGTTCAGGCTCAAGGCGCCCACGGAAGGATCCGAAAGCAATTGGATGCAATGTCGCTGCTTCTCCTGGCTTGTCTGCCGGTGATGGTCCTGAGCCACTCCTACCTAGCACTCCCTCCTTCGCGGAACTTGCTTGCAAACTTGGAGGGCCGGGAGGATAGCCCGCATTGCCTACAGTCTGGTGGTCCTGACAATGTCAAGGCGCGCGGACAGGGCGTGTGGCCGACCCGCTTGGCTCCAGGCTCCCATGGCCTTTGTGGAGATCCGGTGCAGGGGCAAAGCAACCCTGTGAGACTTGAAGATGAGACCTACCTCAAAGCTGGAGTCGTGACGGCAAGGTATGAACCAGGCGAAGTGGTGGAGTTCCAGGTGGCAGTGAGTACACATCATCAAGGACACTACGAGTTCCGCATTTGCGACAAGCCTTTGGATGCAGGGTCCCTGACATCAGCTGCCGAAGGTCAGGCTTGCTTGGACCAATGGTTGCTTTCGCGTGCTCCGCCATTGGCCGACTGTGTGGTCAACGATCCCCGGGGGGACTGCCAGCCTTTGGACTCGAAGCATCCGGAGAGATGGTACCTGCCGCCTGCCGGTTCACACACACCAGTTGCTGGGCGAGACTTTAATGATTCCATGGCTCCAAAATATCCATCCGCAGCAGAGGTGCACCGCATGAGGTTCAAGATTCCAGATGACTTGCAGTGCTCCAGGTGCACGTTGCAGTGGTATTGGTCCTCCGGGAACAGCTGCTACTACGATGGTGACTACTTCGACTACTATCGAGGAATTGCTGCTCTCGGATGGGACGCTGCCGCATGGCAGCCACAGATACTGGAACAATGGGCAAACTGCGCAAACAGCTGCTGCCAAACTGGGGGCTCGTTCGGGGAGGAGTTCTGGAATTGTGCAGACATTTCAGTTGGCCCGCGCGATGGCACTTCACCAACATCAACACCGGGGCTGTCAACCACAAGAACTGCCACATCAACTACCAGCCCGGCTCCACAGGCTACCACAACACCCGTCCTGTCCACAACCTCGTTGCCAAAAGCTTGCTCCGGGGCTTGGGCAGCATGTGGCGGTCAGAACTGGGATGGGCCAACCTGTTGTGAGGATGGCTATGCTTGCATTGAAGAAAGCATTTGGTACTCACAGTGTCGACCTGTGGCAACTCTGTCTGAGATGCCTGACCTCGCCACTCAACACAAGAAGCACCGCCACTTTCGTGGAAGCACATTTCTGCAAGATGGAATGCTGTTGGACCAGATGCCTGCGGATGAGGAGCTGTGAGACACGTTTGGTGGCACTTAATGACATGGACGCCCTTGGCTTCGCAGCAGTGCGTAGCGGTTCTACTCAGCTTCTAAAGGGACAGGCTTCAAGTTAAATGTAGCACTCTGCAAAGTCTTTGCTATACAGTACAGATATGCTGGCGGCTGGCTCTTCGCAGGTGGCAAAGCAAGCCTGCAGGAGCCAGTGGAATGCCAGTAGCCGAATTCGAGCTTTCTGGTGCTGCCATGTGCTGCCTCCGGTGCTGCTGCACTGTTGCCAAGACACCACAAGTTGCCGCACTTGGTAGAGGTTGGTTCACGCACAGCTTTTTGCAGCGTTTCATGATTTACACTGACTGCTGCTCCTTTCTGTTCCTGGCGTCTCTTCAGCAGGCTGTGCGTTGATCCATCACCCCTTTTGGGCCATTTGGCCACGTTTGAGCAAAGACTGTTTTGTCCGAGAACCCCAGGTTCCGACATGCGGCACAATCGAAACGGCTGCTTCAAGTCTGGACCCGAAAAAGGTACTAAGCAAGCATGCTGAGTAGGTCGTCGAAACATGACTTAAGCCGGACGCTAAGCTTGACTTCGAAGCAACGGAAAGACTGAAGAAGACCGCCCTAAGGGTGGCGAAAGCTGGACGCTTGCTCGGAGTGCTCGGGCCTTCGGGCGCAGGCCCGGCTCTCGGCTCACAGTTTTTGAGTCTTCAAGGGTAAGAGAAGCTAAGCTAAGCAAAAGCAAGAGATCGATTGGTGTGGGGCTCTGCCATAACAAAAAACACGAGCATCTGCTTTGCACTCCCACTGGCCGGAAGGCAAGTCCACCTTCCTTTCCGCCCTGGCCGATGTCCTGGATGAGCCTCTCCAGCGGACAGGCCACATGGCGAGAAGCCGTCGCAGAGGAGCTTTTTGTAATCAGGTGCGAAATCCTTTCGCGACATGCGAGACGAGGAGGATTCTGGTTTGTACTGATAAAAATGGGCTGCTCTCGCCCCCCCCCCCCCCCCCCCGCTCCCCCGCTACCGGAAGGGGGGTGAACGGCAACAATCACTACTGCGATTTCCACTCATAACTACAGAAACTGCAGCTGCTACAGTAGTGCCACACCACCACCAACAACAACACCACTCCTGCTGCTGCTTCTGCGGCTGCCGCT